GTTTTCCTGGGAACTAACCACAGCGCGTTAACACTTGAAGAACCATTGCCGTAGTAGTTTGCTTGCGAGGATTATTAGATGGTTAGTTGTATTAGTCTAACAGAGAGGGTTCAAGCTTCTGGAATGTTTGGAAAGTATATTGTTGACTCAACCATCATCACCAATTATCTTCTCGTCTTGGGGTTTGGTAATCATTGGGCTTGACTCCTCTCTAGCATAAGTAAATTCTCTTCAATCTTCCCTTATAGATTTAACAAAAGTCTAAGTTTAGGAATAGCATGCGAAACCTCACGACCCTGTCTCCTCACAAGGAACAACACTAGCGAGTCTCACGAGCTTGTCTCCTCGCAAGGAACAATAGTAGTGAGCGCTATTCTTAACCGTAACAGAAAAAACTTTCATGAACCTGTCTCCTCACAAAGAACAATATTAGTGAAGACCGTTACGAGATTTTGGTACAAAAAAAGTCAATAAAAAACGACTAAGGGAATAGAGAAGGGAAAAGTGCACAAAATTGTTAAGGGAGAGTAAGAATCTACAAGTCCTTTGATCGATACTCCCTCGATGAGACGGGATAACGGCCTATTCCTCCATGACCTATATTGTTGTTGTTTATTTATACATGAAGTATTGACACTGGCCTAAACACACATGAATTCCTTTTGTTTTTGAACTTACTACATAATCTTATAAACTTGGTCAATTCACACAAAACTGTTAACGGAGTCCATTTTCCGTTCACGGGGTTAACTCTCCGTTAACGGAGTCCGATCTGATAATTTTGTTTTTAGATGATCAGTATTCATAAAACAAATTGGAGGAAAAAAATTAATCTTCCCCTTTGGCTTCCATATGCAATCTCTTCTTCTTCTTCAACGCTTTCAATGGCTTCCGTAAAAGTGGCATCAACGCAGCTCTTCTTCCTTTCGACGAATCGATGCTCGGATTCCGACTCTCTCTCGCTACGCTCTTTGGAGTACCCACCAAATCCATGTCCAATTCCAAATCAACAACACCAACAATCTCCGTGAAAACTGGATCGAGCTTCGATTGGGGACAATTCGGGGAAGGATTAATCAAAGTTTCCGCATCCGATCCACCAACTCTGATCAGATCTTCGATAGCTGATCTCAACCGATTCAATACCCAGAATGATTTGGTTTTCTCCATACTTTCGTCTAGAATCGTGAAATACACAAATGAATCACTGATTGCGAACGTGTATGTCTTCTTGCGTACTGTATGAGAGAACATTGAATGGTGTGGAGGCGTGTTCTCGATGGTGTGGAGGCGTGTTCTCGATGAGAGAGCAAGCCTTTTTAACATTTCCATTTGTTGAAGTCGCACATCGTGCTCTGGATATAATCCTTAACACCACCTTCTTGTTCTGCATAAATGACTGAATAATATATATCATTGAGAAGCATTTTGCCCCTGAAAGATAAAGACAAAAGTGTGACTGATATGTTCTTTTGTGATTTTGCAGAATCTTGTAAATGGTTTTGTGTTCAAAGGTAAACCAATGATAATCCAGTTTAAGAGGGATTCTATAGCAGCTAAGCCAAACGAGTGATGATATATACAACAGTGTTGTTTTCTTGGTAAAATTAAATCTTTTAGAGGATTAACTGGTAATTTTTTTTTTTAAGATCATCAATGTAACTCTTGACTCTAATACAAATATCGCTGCCTTATGGCTCAATATGTAAAAATTATATTCTTGTTCGCTCGTCGCTCTTACACTATAATCAACCA